TACTACTAGTAACAAGAAGCAACTAGTAGCAAGTGCAGCGCTACTAGTACCAAAGGCATTACTATATACTAGTAAGAAAAAGCTACTAGTAGCAAGTGCAGCGCTACTAGTAACAAGGGCAATACTACTAGTAACAAGAAACTACTAGTAGCACGTGCAGCACTACTAGTAACAAGAAGCTACTAGCAGCAAGTGCAGCGCTACTAGTAACAAGGGTGTTACTACTAATAACAAAAAACAACTAGTAGCAAGCGCAGCGCTACTAGTAACTCGGGCATTACTACTAGAAACAAGAAGCTACTAATAGCAAGTGCAGCGCTACTAGTAACAAGGGCATTACTACTAGTAACAAGAAGCTACTAGTAGCAAGTGCATCGCCACTAGTAACGAGGGCATTACTACTAGTAACAAGAAGCTACTAGTAGCAAGTGCATCGCTACTAGTAACAAGGGTGTTACTACTAGTAACAAGAAGCTACTAGTAGCAAGTGCAGCACTACTAGTAACAAGGGCATTACTACTAGTAACAAGAAGCTACCCCCAGCAAGTGCAGCGCTACTAGTAACAAGGGCACTACTACTAGTAACAAGAAACTACTAGTAGCAAGTGCATCGCCACTAGTAACAAGGGCATTACTACTAGTAACAAGAAGCAACTAGTAGCAAGTGCAAAGCAACTAGTAACAAGGGCATTACTACTAGTAACAAGAAGCTACTAGTAGCAAGTGCATCGCCACTAGTCACAAGGGTGTTACTAGTAACAAGGAGCTACTAGTAGCAAGTGCAGCGCTACTAGTAACAAGGGCTGTACTACTATATAGTAACAAGAAGCTACAAGTAGCAAGTGCATCGCTACTAGTAACAAGGGCGTTACTACTAGTGACAAAAAGCTACTAGTAGCAAGTGCATCTGCAAAAGTAACACGGACTAGTAACAAGAAGCTACTAGTAGCAAGTGCATCGTTACTAGGGCATTACTACTAGTAACAATAAGCTACTAATAGCATCACAAAGAACCAAAGACCTTCTTGACATAGAGTTGATTCGGCCAAGCATAGCACGTTGCTAGGCTTGCCAAAGAAATGTGATCTTGTTGCTAGGCATGCGTAGTGGGAAGGTAGAACACGAAACGGTTCAATATTGAAACCATGCCTTGCAGATCAGATAGGACTCAAAAAGACTTCAAGAAGTGTGTCCCCAACTAAAACCATCCCAGGAACAAATCTGAACTTATATAAGACTTCAGCTGTGTTAGCTTGGGGCAATGCTTAGAGAACATCTGAGTATGAGGTCTCAAAGTAATATCAGGAAAGAAGAACTAGAGTAACTAGAGCTCAATCACTATGCAGTCTTGACTCCAATCACATGCAGAAGTGCAACACGGAAGTTGAATGCGAAGCTTGAGTTCTTAAATCCAACGTGGGTGTTATTTTTTGCTCCAGACCAGACACACTCCGTACTTCGTCGGCTTTAAAGTGGAGGATCAGAAAAGCTGGCTGCACTTCAACACCCATGAAGTGCTCTGAAGGTTGCTTCATCATGATTCATAGCTTTCATACCCCTCTACCTACACACAAAGCTGCATGCTTTCTCCCGACCTCAGGGCCGATGGCAAGGTGAGGAACTTGGGCATAGATGCTCCTGCGATTTGCTGTGATGAGTTCATGCTCCTCTGGACACATCTGTCAGGCTGTCGGGTGACAAGGTTGCTTTTTTACAAAAATGGGTGGCCACAAGGCTTTGCGTGGCAAAACATCCATGTCGAATGGATGTTTCCAGAAGATCCGCAGCACCAAACGTAGTGCGTATATATAAATATGTATAAATTATAAATAATATGCCTCACAAATTGGAAACGGAAACTACAGTAACACAAATGGTTGAGGGAAACATTTGGCAAAAGCTCCAGGCTCGAGAACCTTGGAACCCTTACAAGCTGACGAAACGATTCAAATCTTTCGTGCAGCATCTCTTTCTGGCGTTTGGCAAGTGCCCTTGAATTGCTAGATAATTTGAAGAATCTGGTCAACAAGTTGCACCACTTTGACACAATTTGACAAATGAGCAAAAATAACTTTGATCAGCTCGAAGAATACTCGTGGCTCGTGCCCTGCTGTCTGATCCTTGTGGGAATGCCACCAGGACGATCCAAGATTCTGCGCTCAGGCAGGCAATAGGCGTTGATTAGGCCAGGGAGATCTTTGCTAGCCACAGACCTTCACGCTGAAGGTTTGAAGCTTTCGAGACTGCTAATCACTCCCAAAGCTACCTCCCACACGCAAAAACAGGAGCACATTGCAATGAGCAAACATTGGTCCAATGTTACTTTTGCGTACTTTTGCAATACGTATGTGTTATGCTCCAAGGTGCTGGAATTCCCAAAGGGCTCAATACTGATGGCTTAGACTTCTTAGGGGTTTCTTTGCCAGGCGACTCCAGAGGATCCAATGTTTCGGGGGGTTGTTTCTTCACCATGCAGATAGTTTTGCAGGTACGAAAAGCAGAGAATTGCTGTGAGAAGAATCTCTCAAGCACTTCTCCAACCCAAGCCAACCAAATCTGCCGAGATCTGCCGAGTGACTGATACCAGCCAAGAGCCTGCAGAGGTATAATTATGTGCAAAAATAACAGCAAGGCCTACTTAGCAGGTATTGTATGAACACGTACCTGCACAAGCACAGCAAGATTCCCTGACGACCTTGGAGATTCCGTGTACATTAATACTTACTTGTAGGATCTTGTAGGTGGATCGAGCTTGCAACATCCACTCTTCTGAACATAAGTCTCGTCCCATGTTCATATCACCAAAGCCTGCTCGATGGCATCCTTCTTCTCACCTGTTGCCCAAAGGTGCAAGATCTTTTCCTCCTGTCGCAAAATAAATGCCCCTGGCGCTTGAATGCCTCAACCTGCTACAGCAATCAGATCGAGCGTCCAAGCAGGATCTGGCTCACCTGGCCCTTGAGTGCACGGCATGCGGAAGGACCCAACTGACATGTTGATGGTTTGGGTGCTTTGAGGCGAGGAGAAATTTGTTGGAGATGCTTTCCAACTGAAGGACGGTCACGCGGGCACGTACGTCGGAATTCGCTGGCCTCCCGCATTTGACAAATACATGCAAATAACGTGTTTGTCCTTTCTATACCCTGTGTTGTTTCTTATGATGATGCCTCACCTATATGATAGCAACAACGTAGAGATGGTGCATGTGGAGCAGCATTATGGCAATACTACGTCATTCTGATAACCACTGAGCCTGCCTCGTTCCTCTATTACTAGCATTCATAGGGATGGGGTTGACAGCAAACCAAGAGAGGTCCATGAAGGTGAAACTAGCCAGGCTGTGAACTAAGCCACCTGCAGAAAGCCATTGCGTACCCAAAAAGGATGCCAAGGGCATTGTGGGGAGGGGATTCCTCCGGAAAAATGGAGGTAACAGCAATGGAAAAACAAGAGGAGCCAGAAGCACTGGGCCAGCCCAAAGACACAAAAAAGGGTCAGGACAGGACTGAAAAAGGCTCCTAGCTGAAAAGAGAAAAGTGAGGTGCCCATCAGGGAGCAGCACTCGGTCGCACGGGTGTTCCTGCGGAACGCCGTCAGCAGACCATAAGGGAACAAATGAGAAAAACATGAGTGACACCAAGCGCGTCAACCCTGCACTCAGAAGACGATGTCCAACAAGCCATCTGCAACACAAAGAGCTCAGGGCACCAACTCAGCACGCCGCCGCAATGCAGCTCGGCCGCGCCAACTGCGCACCAACACGCATGCTTCCTGTAGCAAGCTGGGGCCACCAGCGCCGCCTCAGCCAGGGCTTTGGCTGCCTCTGCCGCCCACGCACCCGTGGTCTCAATCACCATGGGCAGGAAGACGCCACATGTTGGGCTGTACATGTCGCTGCGGTGTCCGAGTGCCGACGCTTGTAGGCTGTGTAAGCTTCAGCAGCAGAAGCGCCCCCAGGACCACCAAGTGCGTCCAACCGCTGAGGCGCCGTCACGGCAAAATCAAGTGCAGTTGGGCGTCGGGCGTCCAAGGAAGGACGGGATGGGGACTACCAAATAAACGCCAGGATGCTACCAGCCAACTATATTACTTTATACTATAAGGGTTTATGAGGGGTTCTCTTGGCTTGCGTTCTAAGGAGTTTAGCTACGCAACCCCTCACACCCATCGAAGTGGCATCGCCTACAACTCGATCAATTCACTCCTCCTTCCCGCGGTTCTTGTCCGGAGTCCAAGCATCTACAAGCAACCTTGGTGCCATGTGAGAAACAGTTGATCCAATCAATGCAACACATTGTGCAAAGCTTGTTGGAATTTTGCACGGGAGCTTTGAAGGAATGAAAGATAAGAGCGTTTTGCTCAGATGAAATTGCGTGAAATCGCCTATAATGCTAATATAATAGTCAATACAGTCAAGCGCTTTTGCATGCACTAAGCAAATCAACCTGCGTGCGTGATTGAAATGCTATTAGAAGGGTGTGAGGATAAGCAAGTGATTGAATCAAAGGAACAAGACCCATGACCATGAAAACAAACAGCCGATTCTTGTGTGTGTGTGTGACCTCCGCCCAATCCTCTTATCCCAGGCACTCTGCATCCGCCAGTAGCAATGTTTGCTTCAGGCTATCAATGCGAACCTGTTGCCCACAACCAAAGAGCTCCTTGGGAAATCTTGTCCCAGTTGCTCTTGATGCTCGATCAGCGACCGGTCAACCCAAATAGCTTGCCCCAGAATGAACCAAATAGTCGATATATATATATATACATACATATGAATGTGGTAGGGACCTTTGGGGTTCATTTCGCTCGTGATAGAATGTGTACCCTTGACGAACCTTCCCAGCTGCTCACATCCTGAAATCGAATAGGATTATGTATAAACTACCTGCTATAATATTTGTGCTCCTTCATTGGTATAAAGATTGATCATATTAACATAGTTAACATTATCAATCATCAATTTGCAAATAGTGTGAAAAATTGATCATAAACATCTTGTTCCTATCCTTTTCCAGAAGATTAATATCTAAAAACATATGTGGCTGTTCAGTGGCTATTTCATAAAGTTTATATAAGACCTGCTTACTTTCTTGGATATTGTTTCTTTTCTTCTAGGTATTGCTGATAGTTCTTTTTGAAACAGTTCTATTTCTTTAAAGTTGCTGACCTTGTAGAAGAATAGGTGTGTGGCATTAACTCTTATCAGTGTGGTCAGTGCATTAAATTTGTGACCAGATGTTATAACACTAATACCATTGTGTCTACCTCTTACATAAAGGGAATCAAATATGTTTGAATATCTTGATATTTTGGGATCATCTGCTATATCATCCAAGACTATTAGGATTGTTTTTTTTAAATGTGTGTTTACTGTATTCAGTTATTCTATGTTGTGTTTCAATGACTTTCATTAAATCTTCACTGTGAAAGTCTTCAAACAAAACCTGCTCTTTACCAGTGTTCACTTTCATTTCTTCCTTTATGTATTTCTTGACTGGCAACCAGATGCTATCAACATTTATTGAAGGTGACCAGATATACACCCTGGAAAAACTTCCTTGTAGGTGTCCATATTCATGTTTGTTAGTAGCACTGATTTGCTACTACCAGACGGACCGGTTATGATTGATCTAAAGGGCACTTTAGAGGCAACAGCATATTTTGATTGAGTGAATTCATAATTGATTTCTTTGATAGGTTGAATATGTGGTGCGGTGTTATTATTCATCTATTAATAAAATTACATAGAAAACATTATTAAATATTAGCAGATCTCCTATGGACAGAGTGCGGTAGGTGAGGCTACGCTAATCCGCATAAGTCGGTAATTAGTTTGCTTTTCAGCAATGGATTTTTTGCCCTTACAGTTGAATTCGTTTTTAGTGTTCTCCCAAGCACTACATAATTAGATGGTGTTAAAGCATTATCTAATTATAGTTATATATTATGACGCTATCTGAACATGATGCTTATATAACAGGAAGAGATGATATGGAAAAAAATGATAGTGCTAAATATCCAGTTGTTAAAGATAATAAACTTAAGCAGTGTTGTAAATACTCACTGGACATGTCAAAATTGATAATTACTTATCTAAAATGTAATATACATGCCACCAAAAAAGACAAAAAAAACACAGATGAATAAAACACAAATCCCCGAAGAGTTTGAACTATCAGATGAAGAACCAACAACAATAAAACTAGATGAAGAACAAAAACTAACAAGCAAATTCATTACCATTGACTGTCCTTCATGCCAGGGAAAACTACAACTGAGAATGAAATTGAAATCAACACTAAAGGCAAAAAGTGTAAGTGTAATCCATATAGCTTTAAAATCAGCAAGAGTGATAAGATAAGACTATGAAAGTTTCAAACGATGATGGTGGATCTATTACTTTAGATAATACTGATAAAATTGATGATCTGATAAAGAAAATGACCAGATATAATAATAGTCTTAAATTGATCTTACAGTTGTTAAAAACCATTGATGAAAAGACTAATGAGAAAAATGATTTAAGGAAAATGGAGAAGCATCTGAAAAGAAAAGCATAGGTAGACCAGTAGGGGACTTTGAAACTAAAAGGAAGCAGTATTTAGAAATGTTGAATTCAAAAATAATAAAACAACCTAAAGAGACCACCATACAATATTACAAAATTGATTATGATGAAGACACTGAAACATACTCATGATAATATATTTTCTATGACAACATGTTATTATGAAATTATAATAATTATACAGGTTCACACGTTGATGGCACACAGGAATCGAGACAATACATGGCATATATGCACTTTTTGATGAAACACATCGAGGATCTGAAAGGGCCATGTGTGCCATCATAGTGGTCAGTTGATGCTTGGGGGGATCGGCATTGTAATCTACTAGAGCCGTTTGGCTGGTATGCCATCTTATTGTTTGTTGCAGGCCTTAAGGGTGTTGTACTCTGTTTGCTGGTCTCTCTCTCCCTCTCTCTCTCTCTCTCTCTCTGTCGACGCTTTCCAGTTCTCCCACACCAGAAACTCAGTTTCCGCAAAAAACCTTTTCCATCCAGCAGCCCAAAGAGTGTCATGCACTGTAGGTTTCCTGTCTGTATAGTTTCTTTCCTTTGCTCCTTCTCTTGGACTTCATTCCATTTGCTGGATTCTAGTATGAGACTAGCTCGCTCTCACTCTCACTCTCTCACTCTCTGTAACTCCCTCTCTCTCTCTCTCTTTGTGTGTAGTGTGCCATCTTAGCGTTCCTATGTTCAATTCATTTCATTCTTCTCCCCTTCCTCACTCCCTGCCTCTTCTTTCCCTTTTGCTTTGTGCCCTGCTCTCGCAGCGGACCTACCATTGTTGTATATAATGGTCCTCTCCATTCGGTATGCTGTTCCTGCGTTAGTGCATATCATTTCCTCACGTGCCATCTTAACGTTCCTATGTTCAATGCATACCACTCTTTCCTCGCATCCTTTCAACTGCCTTTATCCTTGCCGTTCTATTTAGTATTCTTTTCATGCCCTTTAGCCTGTTTGGACATACCTCAATTACTTGCCAGGGGTTCCAGGACGTCCTTAGTTATGTTAGTTCCTCTCTCTCTCTTTCTCTCTCCCACCGCGGCTCCCTGAACAAAGGCTTAACCAAGATCAAATAAGGTAGCCTGTGCAGCAGGCGCCTTATCTCATCTTATATACGTGTATATATATATATATTATATGTGTGTTTTTTTGGGGGTGTCCTTTCCTGTCTGTATAGTTTCTTTCCTTTGTTCCTTCTCTTGGACTTCATTCCATTTGCTGGATTCTAGTATGAGACTAGCTCACTCTCACTCTCTCACTCTCTGTAACTCCCTCTCTCTCTCTCTTTGTGTGTGGTGTGCCATCTTAGCGTTCCTATGTTCAATTCATTTCATTCTCCTCCCTTCCTCACTCCCTGCCTCTTCTTTCCCTTTTGCTTTGTGCCCTGCTCTCGCAGCGGACCTACCATTGTTGTATATAATGGTCCTCTCCTCTCAGTATGCTGTTCCTGTGTTAGTGCATGTCATTTCCTCATTCCCTTCCTCCCCCTCCCTCCCTCTCTCCCTGCTTGCCTTCCTCCCTCTCTTTTACTTTTCTTTTGTGAATGCAACCCCAGCACTCTCAAAGAACCCCGCTCTCACAGCGGCCCTGCCATTGCTTCAGTGTATTGGTATGTCATTTGAGTGTTCCTATTGTCAAAGCTCAATTTTGCGCTGAAATCTTTAATCTTTGATGGCATATTTCAACCATTTTACTTGTGCCATCATTTCGTGAACCCTATATTTTCAGGCACAGGTAGTGTTGGAAGAATTGTTAAAGAACTTGGTAATACTATTATATCACTTGATCTTAAAAATGCTAGTATCAATGAGGATATTTTGAAATTTGATTATAATAAATTTGACAACGACTTTGATGTTACTTGGTCATCCCCGCCTTGCACTGAATACATCATAGCAAAACAAACAGACACTAGAAAAATTGATGAAGCAAATGAAACAGTGAAGAAAGCTATTGACATAATAAACTATTTTGATCCAAATGTTTTCGTTGAAAACCCCCCAGACCGGACTTTTGAAGGAGCAAGAGTTTATGAAAAACTTCGTTTTTTGATGTTGATTATTGTAAAGATGGAATGGCATACAGAAAACGCACCAGACTTTGGACAAATAATAACCCTTGGACACCTAAACCATTATGTAAAAAGAACTGCGTACAAATGGAAGGGAATAGGCATAGGGAAACAGCACAAAGGGCACCTAGCAATAGGAAGGAAACATGGCCTGAAAACTTGAAAACTATACATTGTTTAATCAGAAGGAATTATACATAATCCCAGAAGAGTTGATCAGATAAATATGTATATAATGCTATAAACTAGATATTTACTATTCTAATTTTTTCTATGAGAGACCAATGGGGGATGTTCACCTGACCAAAACTTAAAGGGATAGTAGCAATAGGTACTAAGGAGATGAAAGATGATAAGTTTGAGAATGTGTATTGTCAGGTGTGTGAGTGCAATGTGAGGAAAAGTGGATGGGGGAAGCATAAGAAAACAAATACGCATATTGAGAATGCTCAGGGTGGAGGTGAGGAAGTGGAGAAGAGAAGGTGTGGACAGTGTGGATGTAATAAGGAATTGGGAATGTTTAATGAAAAGAATGCGACTTGTAATGTGTGCTTAGACAGATGGAAAAGGTGGGTGGGGAGGAATGTTGAGAAGAAGAAGGAGATTGATAGAGTTTGGAGGGAGGAGAATAGGGAGAAGAAAAACTAATATGATCGGGAATATAGTTTGATTGAGATGTGGTGTGAGGTATGTGCGTGCAAGGTGAGAAAATGTAAGTGGAGAAGACATATTGAGAGTAGGAAGCATAGGATGGGTGGGGAGTGGGGATGATGGAAAAGATGGTGTGGGGGGAGATGGGGGAAGGGTGGTCAGGTGAACATCCCCCCTTGGTCTTCCCCTACTTAGATATCTGAAAATGGAGAGAATATCGGACTCGCTCAATAGGATTACAGGATCACATCTTCTTCCGTGTTTCAACACCAGTAGAGGCCCCGATCCTTCCAATCATTCATGTGATCCATAGAAACGCATTCAAATCGCATGTTTAACTGTTGTGTTTGGCCCGAACTCCCCCACAACTGCGTCAGGCAACATCTATTTGATCGAGGGTCTTGTGGAAACTACTGATTTCTGCACTTATACAGTAATAGAGCTATATTGGACATAAAACCTTTTTTCATAAAAATATTTTAAAAAATACAAAACAATAATACAATTCCATTTGATAAACTGATTTTTGTTTACACTATTTAATTTACAAATGCTTTTTGCAAAGTAAAAAAACTAAATTCAATTCTATTTAATAGAGTGACTCAGTGGCCTCCGGCTACTATTAAAAAAATAAATAAATAAAAACTATCTATTTTTTTTACTTATATAAATTGATCGAATTTACAAATGCCTTTGGTATTTTTATTTCTTAATAGAATTTTATTACAATTCTATTTAATAGAGTGACTCAGTGGCCTGCGGCTATTTAAAAAGTTTGAAAAAAAAGTATTTTTTCTGTGCAAAAGCCTTTTGTAAAGTAAAAATAGATAATTTGTAAAAAATAAATCAAAATCAATTCATTTCTTTAAATTTACAAATGCCTTTTGTAAATAAACAAAAACAATACAATTCCATTAAATAGAGTGACTCAGTGGCATCCGGCTATTTAAAAAATTAATAATTTAAAAAAACATAGATAAAATCAAAAAAACAAATCAAAATCGATCTATTTTTTATTTACAAATGCCTTTTGTAAATTGAAAACGTACAAAAATACAAAAAATACATCAAAATCTATTAATAATCTAATTTATAAAAACCTTTTGTAAATCAAAAACAATTATAGTTAATAGAGTGACTCAGTGGCATCCGGCTATTTAAAAAGTTAAATAAAAACAAAAAAATAGATAAAATTTAAAAAATAAATCAAAATCGATTTATTTTTTAATTTACAAATGCCTTTTGTAAATTAAAGAAAAAAAATAAAATTAAAAAAATAAATCAAAATCTATCCAATTTTTAATTTACAAAAGCCTTTTGTAAATTAAACAATAATAAATAGAATTAAAAAATAAAGCAAAATCTATTTATTTGTTTAATTTACAAAAGCCTTTTTTAAATTAAAAAAACTTAACTAAATTAAAAAAATAAATACACGTCGATTTAGTTTATTTAATTTATTTAATTTTTATAAAAAAATTAAATAGCCAAATCCACAAACAAAAAGAAATCTATTAATTTCTAAATATATTTAATTTACAATTTAAAAAATTAAATTAAATAAATAATAATAATAGATAAAAATCTAGGTATTTTTTTACTTTACATTCTTAATTTACCAAAGCCTTTTGTAAATTAAAAATTAAAAAAAAATCTATTTAATAGAGTGACTCAGTGGCATCCGGCTATTTAAAAAATTAAATAAATTAGAAAACATAAATAAAATCAAAAAAATAAATAAAAATCGATTTATTTTTTTAATTTACAAATGCCTTTTGTAAATTAACAAAAAATTAATAAAATTAAAACAATAAAGCAAAATCTATTCAATTTTTAATTTACAAAAGCCTTTTGTAAATTCTAAAAAAACAATAAACAATAAATCAAAATCTATTTATTTTTTTAATTTACAAAAGCCTTTTGTAAATTAAAAGAAATTAAATAAATAAAAATATATATACACGTCGATTTAATTTATTTAATGTATTTAATTTATTTAATTTGTTTAATTTTTTAAATAGCCAAATCCACAAACAAAAAGAAATCTTTTAATTTTTAAATATATTTAAGTTACAATTTGAAAAATTGAATAAATTAAATAAATCTTTAAACAAAATAAATAACACATCAAAATCTATCAATTGTTTAATTTACAAATGCTTTTTGCAATAAATATTTGAATTGAAAATTAAATCATTTGTGTTTGTTTCTTTTTACGAAATGATACCTAAAGGACCCTCGATCTATATATATATACTTGAGGGGAAGTTCATGGTTCACGGCTGCCTGTCTCTTTTGGGAATCAAGTCCTTCTGGCCCGACACCGTGAAGAAAATGGACATGGAGAATACATGGCCGTTCGGTGGCCAGAACTACTCCCTGTCCTCCTCATGGTGTTCTCTGAGCTCGCAAAGAGCCGATGAGAGCTCCTTGTTCACAGGAGAATTCTGGTTGTTCCTTCTTGTGGTTTCCAACACTTTAAGACTGAACGCAACGAATCAACACATCTCAACGTCTGCTCGACTGGAAGGTGTGTCATCAGTTGCAATGTGTTTCCATGTTACAAGCCATGTGGGATGTCCTTGACGAGCTTATCGAACGGCTGCCCGCCCTCACCTCCTTCTTGGCCCTGTGCGGCCATTAAGGGGCAACCAGCGAATGTATCAGCCCTACGTCACAAAGGGTGCCGTGGGTCATTCATGGCCGCACGTTCCCAAGCTTATTATATACGTCAACAAATTGAGAAGCAACAAGTACAAACAGAAAATATATGAACATATATCATTTCTCTGTGTCATTCGATATCCAAAGCAACTTCAAGAAACAACAATTGGTCAGTCTAGTATAGTCTAGTCTAAAACAAATTTTGCTTTTGCACCTGGTTCGGCTTTCTCACTGCAGCCACAAGCTGCCAGTAGGCACATCGCACCAGCCCATAACGCGCTCGAAAAGCACCATCTGGATTGCCTTGTAAGCCAAAACCGATGCACATCCTCCAAAGCAGTCACAAAATCACAGTTTGTTCCCTTGTTCCATCTGGGAAATATTCAGGACGCTAATTACTCATCGTACAGAGAGTGCAAAGAAGTGAAAGGTTCCACACAATGCGGATATCCTTGTTGTGTCTCTTCTGAGGGCTGAGGTCACATGTCCTTTTTGCGTTAGAATCAACCAAAAAAACACTTCCTTTGCTTCAAAACAGTAAACAGTACACGGGGGAAAAAAGCACACGGCCCACGTCCTGCCTTCTAGAGCACGGCTAAAGAGCTGCTGTGCGGCGCTGAAATCTTGGTTCAAAGCTTGAGTCCGTGTGGGTGTCATTGGGCTATTGCTGCTGCAAGAAAGCTGTATTTCATCCTGCAATCTAGCATACATGCTCAAGCAAGCAGAATGACTCACGCGACATTCGGAGAATGGGTGTACCGGGTCTTGCAGTGGTTCATGGAAAAACTATGAAAAATAGTAAAACTGATTGGAATTGAAAAGCGCATCCTTGAGTTCTTGAGTTCTTGCAACCACTGCTGGCGCTTTTTCACCTCCATCCTTCCCCCAACATGTGACAAACAGCTGGATTCTGTCAGCATCTGCTCGGCAGACTTCAAGGCATTCATCGGGGACACTTTGGAAGCATCCTGCCAAGGACGTGCACCGCAATACAGGACCGGATTTCTGAGATTTGATGAAGGTAGAGTGACCTAGTGGCAACAAACCCATTTGCCTTTTGAGGGCTTTCAGGTCTGAGTCATAGTCTGGCCGCCTAGCCTAGCTGACCAGCACGCAGGCAGGTGAGAGAACAACAACTCATCTGCAAGGTCAATGTTTTGTCCACTTGGATGTAATACTCGGATTTATTGATTCACGATTCACCCTGCTCTAAAATGTCTGGGGTACCGTTCTTGACACAACCAATCCACATTACATAATGCCGTCAGAATTCTTCGCCATGAACAAGACAGACTGGCCCAAGATGGATGGCCGGACAAGCTTCGTCCAAGTTCTGAAGCTGCAAAACTGCTGTGTTGGTGTCGGGATGTCTCTAGGGTCCACCGAGACCTCCGTCCTCATCGTCCTGACGTGCTCCTTTCAAATAGGGCTTCGCAGCCTCCATGAGGCGCAACAGATCCTGTGGAACTCGTGCGAACTCGTGGAGTCGAACGGTGTTTGAAGGAAAAGAAGGATTCTCTCCAGACCCAAAGAGATCCAAAGAGATCCAAAGGGATCCAAAGGACAAAGGCCTTGTGGAAGTTGGAAGTGAACTTTGGGTGATTGGTTTGTCCCTAAATGCAGCAGTGGTGGGAGACCACGGACTGTGGATTACTGTGAACTTGCTACAACAAGCAAAACCATACCAAAAAACGTCATTTGGCGCTCTTGTTGATTGTTCTTGGTCCGCAAGTTCTTTCAGTCCGTCCAAAATCAAAAACATGCTCCGCTACTCCGCCTCTAAGTCCGCACCATCGGCTCGTGCTTCCACTCGGTTCTCCCGCATCAACAGCAAGGTTGGGATCCCCTGTGCCGAGAACACATCCCAAAGGCCTAGACAGTCTATGGAACGTATCTGAATCAATATCAGGAGTGAGTCTAAGGAATGAGGGAATGGATCCAAATGAATCTCCACTGGGGTGAATGCAATTCATCAAACCATCTGCGCTGGAGCTTCGTGCTCATGCGGATCACCTCGAGCAATGACCCGATGACCTAGGCTCTGTTTCTCGTGGCCTTGATATGGCGTGAGCTGATGGTGGCAGGAGCACGGTCCAAATCCAAGGAATAGATGGGCATTTGACCTTGGCATCTGAGCTCATCCTAGGTCAGGCTGAATAGACTGGACCTTCCAAGTATTGACAAGCTTCGATCTACATGTATTTGAACCAGTTGCACTTCAACTCGACTGTCAAGTAATCAAGTACACTGGATGTGATCGTTACCATATAGTGTAGGTGTTTTCATGTTTTTTCACTCACAACCTGGGCCTTTCTCAGCTTGGGACCACTGTCCCAGTTTGCAAGAGCATCAGCTACCCGTCTACTTCCTGGCCAAGACGGCGTTGCTGAGGGAGCCAGACGTCTCTCGCCAATGCTGTGCAGCACAGCACAGGTTGAAAGTCTCGCGGCTTATATTATATCTTAAGTGCTTAGTGCCTAGTCTCATCTGTATGCCTTATAACTCTACTCTCCACAAGTCCTAGCGTATCACCCTAGCAGACAGAATCAGGGGCATTGGCCAAGTGCTGCAACATCCTGCTCGACTCAAATCTTCCAACAAAGGGTGCTAACTCGCATCAACCCGTGGCCCACTTTGGCTCCAAGTGGTGCCGCAATGCACCAGACATGGCTCCTGCAAATCCTCGCAAGGTTGGGGGTCTCTTGAAAAAAGGAAAGCGTCAGCAAAGTGTTTTCAATCTCCGGGATGAGTTCAAGATACATCCCTTCCAGCATCAAACTCACACATTTTCTTTCTCTGTTCTATCTAGAGATCAACACAGTATAGCAATGTCATATTGTGCAGCATTCACAAACTGCTGCAAACAAAAGAGTCCCACCGGAAAAAAAATGAAAAGGTTAGTCTCCAAGCCCGAACTTGACAGCTGCACAAAGTGCATTAAGAAAAAAGGAGCAACTGTAACTGTACAACATGGAGATCGAAAAACAGAACGCAAGCAATGCAAAGGGAAACATATTCTGCATATGATATGTTCTCTTTCTGCAGTTTGTTTACAAAGGTTGTACGGTGCTTCACCTTCAAAATTAGGTTCAGGTTAATGTTCCACTGGTGATGAAAATAAGATAAAACTCCTAAACAGAATGTCCACTTCCCTGTGAGCACCCAAGGAAGAAGTAGAATCCCAATGTGGAAAACATGGAAGTACCGCATGCCAAACATCTTAGAATTTGGGCAAGAGTAAGGTCTGCAGGCTAATTCTGGTTGCAAATTCAGCGCGGGCTTTGCAAAAATGATGAATGAATGCTGTCTAAGAGGCAAAGTTGTTGTCAGCCTAGAAACACAATTGAAACCTGGAATCTAATTTGGTGAAGTGCTGAGGCGTCCTCTCTTCTGCCCAAAAAGCTTGATGCCTTGAACTTTTGATCGTCAATGTTCTGGATCTTCGAGTGCCCCTGGACAAATCTAAATCAATCAATGCGGCAGGCCCAAGCAAGTGGAAAAATTACCTCTGGACTCAATGCTCGACTTCGAAGGCTCTGGTCTTTTTCAGAGCTGAGATACACTCTTTTGTCAGAGCTGACGGGCATCTTCAAGCTAACATGTCGTGAAAGCAGTCTCATCTAGGCAACTGACGGTAGTAAAGGCTCTTGAAGGCAGCCGCGCCTTGCTTGTTGGCCATGAGAATCCCACCGGGTGCTACTCTGGTGCGTGTTCAAAACCAACATACAAGCAGCATGGCAGTTCTAGCGGCAGTGTGGCAGGCAACAGCGAAGGCATGTCAATCAATGCATGACAACGCTCTGGGTCGAAATGTCAAAATCTCTGCTTTTCAACATGTATGCATGGCAATGCATGCGCATCAAACAGCATAAAAAGTGCACCTTGGCAACTGGTAGTAGCCCAATTCAAGCTTAGAACAACATGTATCGACGCGTCTCTCCAAATGCATCCAAGAACCCAGGTCATGCCGAGGGGGGTGCGGAAATGCACTCGGCGAATTGCCGACATTCCCAACTATATATATATAGATATGTTTTCCCTTTGGGAGCAAACCTGGTACAAACACGGTTTCAACTACCATCACAATTGAGGCAAGCATGCATCTCAACTCCGGGAATGCCAAAATCGCTGAGTCATTCTTTCTCCGGGTTGACCAAATGAGACAAAGTGAATCCCTGACGGCAGGGGTCAGCCTTTTCCACCAAGGCTTTGCATGCTTTTGCTACCGCAGTGTGAGCCGGAGCTTTTTGTCCACTTTCACGCTGGCTTAATTTGGGGCCAATATGGTTGCGCGAACGGCGAACGCCCAGAGAAGTAGTAAGGGATAGTAAGGGCTACGGCTACAGTTCACCACGAGTGGCACAAAGTCGATGATTGTGAGAAAGGTGTTCAAGGGGCTAGAATGTTTTGCTCTCGAATCATTGAATTATGTGTATATATGTACATACCGTAACTGTCTCAAAAATAGATCCATCAATGGTTTTCCTTCTACTGTATCGTGCATCAAAACTGAAGCCCATCGAACCTCCAAAATCGGTGACAGGCAAATCCCGTCCTGCAGCTAAGCACAGCAGGCTGGCATAGAGCACGTAGTGGCCATGGCATGAAACGCCTGCCTATGTAATAACTTCATCTAACTTCTACGTGAGCTTAGCTCAACTTGGGTTTATAGGCATAGGTAGATGGATCAACAGGTTGATACACGTCTTTTTGGGACACACGTATCAACACTCAGAGGACTCATTAAGTTGACAAACATCGCAACTGCCACCACTACAGCAGCAGCAGCACCACCAGCACTACCGGCAACTCAGATCCTTGATGGCCTGGTTGTTCAACCTCTACGTTGCTCTTGGGGCATTTAATTTATATAGATTGTTCAAAGCAGTGCTTGCCAAGCCTTTTTGGTACAGTGCAGCATCCTTTCACAGCATGCCACGCCCCCAAATTCTCCTTCATGAAATGTTGCCTGAGCGATTCAAAACACTGATGTGAATGATATGACAATTAGATACAATTAGTAGCGCCGCTACTAGGAGCAAAGGGCATCGCTACTAGGAGCAAGGACACTACTAGGGGTTCCTGGCATTACTACTAGTAGCAAATAGCTCCTAGTAGCGTCCTTGCTACTAGGAGCAAAGAAAATCAAAGAAGTTGTTAGTCCCTCTGAAGCAAATGAAAGAACTCAATTGCATAGAGCGAATTCAGAGACCTAGAACAGGCAGGAGAAAACTCCGGGAATGTAAAAACATCTCAAAGCCATCCAACAACTCTTCACTTGCTAGTAACAAGAAGCTATTAGAAACAAGTGCCTTACTAGTAGTAACAAGAAGCTATTACAAACATTTTCCCTAGGAACGAGAAGCTACTAGCTCCTGGCATCGCTACTAGGAGCAAGAAGCTACTAGTAACACACTCAATGGACTGGGCTTGGTTCAGTGAAGTTTGAGATACCGACAAAAAATACAAAAACGATGTCAAAAAGGATTGAAACAAAAACTGGTAAAAAGAACAGGAATCTTTACCACCACGACCGACTAAATGGTTTGAACTCACTAACCCTTGCTGTTGACTGAAAAATAACCCTTATTACCAGGATGATTGTGTATCTCCACATTGGGCATTCTATTCACTACTACCAGGTACTGCCAGAAACAAGAAGAATTTCGTTTGGACCCCCCGCTCCTTAAGTTTGCACTACCACCTTGGCTCTGCAGTGCGATATCATCTCTGTGATGAAAACCAGGTGCCCGACGGTACTTCCAACTTCTGGCCGGCGAATCGTGTGGAGAGACATTCAAGAAATCAAGATTCCAAGCATTCATGGGAGCTGGACATGTCTTGACTCCTACAGTAGACATTATTCCCAAAGTATCCTGATCCAGGGATCTAACATGATCTAACGATGGGTCTCTCCAGAGGCAAATGTCAATTTAGCAGCTTAGAAATCGCGTACAATTGTATCTTTGCAGGTTTCGGGATGCACCCGAAACGCTGGTTCCTCAGCCGAATTTGTCCAACGGTCCAGAATTTGCAAGCCAGGCTTGTCATCGAACCCAGTCCTCCACCGCCACCGACTCCGAAGCCCTCACGCGAGAGCATCCCTGGCCTCTTGCACCCAAGTGACCACGGAGCCCAGCTGCAAAGCCATGGAATGCAGTGCGGCCTCCAGCAGTCAAGAAAACTTGGGGTCAAATCAATGCATCAGTCAGCACTCTGCTCAACCATTCCAAGCCAACATTCCCAACCTGAAGAACTGCACAGTGCTAGTTTCATTTATGTCATGTTTTTCTATAGTTTTCTATGTTAACGAGACAACCAATTCTCCGGTCGATCCACACGTGGGTGATGGCCTTTGGTTTCTAAGCATTGCAAGTGATTGCAAAGCCGAACGCACCACCATTTCAGTATATCAAATCATGATGAAATAGTATGACCTATTATGACCTGATAGCGCTACCAATCCACCAAGGGCCTTGTTAGTCAAATCATGTCACATCCCACAAATGTCACCAATTGCCACCTCCGCCTCTTGCTGAAGGCCTTGGAATTGTCCGTTCAAATGCTCCAAGTCCTTCGCGTTGGGCTTTCGATTTGTGGAAACAAGAGCTGCATCTGCCTTGAAGTTGTCAGCCTCAATGTATCTAGACCATTGAAGACAGTTTGAGTATGTTCTAGTCCTTGATCATTTCATCATATTTCTTCCACCCAGAAGGCCTAGTCATACCTGGACAGCTCAAAGAGGAGCATTATCAGTCCGATCAAGAGTTTCGGAACAAACTTCTGAGTTCTGTGAAGTTCTGATAGTTCTGTGTCTTTGCTTTCTTTTTCTTAGCGCCTTGCGGCCTCGCGTTTGTGAAGGGCCGGATGTGGGAGCGATCATTTCGATATGGTCGTTCCACAAACCAACAAGACCCTCTGCATGTTCTCGGATGTTCTCGGAGTTTTGATGCCCAGTGGTACCTCCCGCAATGCGACCATCGATGATTCCAGCAGTTGTGGGGCCTGGCATGAACTGAGAAAGAGCAAATCATGGAGTCAAAACAACGAGAAACATCCAGGTACTCGGTATAACATTGTAAATCTTACTGTGCTGAATGGTACAGTAGATCTGATATGTTTAAGTCAATTTATGTCTATCAAACACCGGATGGACAGGCTGTGCTTGTCTTTTTCCTTTCTCTTCCTCGTCATCTAGTTGGACAGCATCAGGCTTGATCCTTGCCATCGGGTGTATTTTCAGGCTGCCACCTGGCTTTTGCCTACTGCGGTCGTTCGTGCTTCTTTGGCTCTCAGACACTGCGGAGTTGTGGAATAAAGACTCTTGGTGGCTGGCTGTACCGTATTTCTTCTTTCTCTCGTTCTTCTACATTATCGACTTCTTGGTCAACTGAGTCAATTGCTGGATAGCAGGGTTCGTGTTCAGAAGGTGAATTGACAAGACAGTCTCATCTTGTCTCCCTCCTTCACTGGCTCTTCTCCGTTATCTTACCCAACTGCATCCTGGGCACTTAACTTCTCTTGCAACTTGTCTGTCACTGCTCCTTGAGCGGTTCCTGCACCATTGTGCGGTTCATCCACTTCCTCATCATCAACTTCGCCCTATGCTTCACACCTTCGACAGCATCAGGCCTGACCTACAGCCACTAAACCCACGGAAGGAGAACTTCTTGGTCTTCTGTCGAAAACACTTGGTGAAGATCCGCGTGACCTTCGGAAACCTCGTGGGCGCGGCCGTGAGGTGACTTCTAGCCGGTCCGGTCCGGACTTCTGTCCTCAATTGTCTGCGGTTCTCTCCTCCTTTGAGCCTCTGATGATTCTGATGCCAAGTTCTAGTTCCTCTTTCTTGCCTCCTATATCTGCTTTCTGACTATAAACCGCCTGACTGTCTGACTTTATCGTCTGAGGTTGTCCGACAGTCTGAGGTTTTCCATGGTGGCCTGAATGCTACCTGACTTTGGACTCAGGCCATCTTCTCTGGTCCTCCTTCTTTGCGCCTTCTCTGACTTGGATGTCACATGATGTCACAACCTCTTCCTTAAATCTCCAGCTTTGGACGACCCAGGTCCCATGACCTTCGGCGCCTTCATGGTCTTCTCAACACGCCTGTCATCTTGCTCCAAGACGTGCAGCTCCACCTGCAAGACGTGTCACTCAAGCAGCGAACCGTGGGCTCCGTGAGAAGGTCATGTTCGTTGCGAACCTGCCAAGACTCATCCAGGTCGGGAAGGCAAATAGTCCACCCATCCCCATGCACCTGTGGATGTCAAAAACTACCACCCTCCTTCTTGACCTTGATCTTCAGGAGAGCGTCCTTCGTTTTCGGCTTCCACAGACCTAGCCATCACCGACATCGCCCTCAGCTACGAGGACCCATCTCCTTTTTAGGCTTTAGCAAAATTCCCCTTCAAAATACAAGATGATACAAGTCCTTCAGAATGCTTCAACTGCACTCTGCTCCCTGCAAACTCCAGGATCACATAGGACCACCTTGTGTTTCTCGGGTCTAAATTTGGACCCGAGCAATGGCCTTGCCACACGGTGCCACACGGTGCCAAGTCTTTCCTTCTGCTCCAAGTTGGGCATCCCTTTGCGAGTCTGGCTATACCGTATAGCTATACCGTCTCCATCTTGCGCCCACGACTTGCATAGACTCACTGATCCGAACCAGATAACTCTTGCGCAACATGTTTCGTAGCCAAATCAATGCTCTCCGGTGGAAGGAGGTTACAAGGCTCTCTGACCAGAGTCGATTGAAAGCGCCCTCGTTGGTCGACCACCCGACACAGCTGATGAAACTGAAGGTCGCTGTGAGGGAATTGACCTGGGCCACCCACACCGCACCTTAGATGTTGAAAAAACAATAATAAGCAGCAAGTATTACTCATGGAGAGTCAACAAATCATGCACGTGTCATATTATGTATATACAATATACGTCTATGTATTCTGGAGAGCAGTACTGATATGTCTATGTGATAGAAGTTTCGAGAAATGCGCTTCCATAGCACGCAACCCTCCCTGGTGGTTTCTCGGCCTTGAAGCGTTTGTTTGGTCTGGGCGATCACCAAGCTGAGATTCTCCAGTCGATAAGAGTGCAGGTGATTAAACATGGACACCGCTTCGTGGGAGGTCACTCCAAGCATCAAGCACAACAGGGCACATGCAACAATACCAGTTCGCCCGTGGCCGCCATAACAATGCACATATATGGCCTGCAGCTCGCGGGCGTCGTGCTGCAATGGAAATTCTAAATGAATCCAGTGTTCCACGTTCGCAAGGTTTTCCCATCTGCTACAGCACTGAAGAAGTGAAAGTAGAGGGGCCAGTTCGGTACCATAGATGTATTGGTTGTACACTCTATGCTCAGTCTCGATCCCTATGATCTTTGGTTTGTGTCAGCATGTGTCAGCTCCCTTGGATCCAATGGAAAAGTCCAAGGCACTCTTCCACTTTGCAATTCCTGCATGAGATTTTGTAGCAGCTGTATGATTTTCTCGTCAGCACAAGTTCCACCATCTACCATGGGACACCTGAGAAACGCTGCTTGAAACGACCAGGCCCCGAATTCCTCACCAAAGATGTATATATGATAAAGCATATGTTTGCCTCGACGACTCTTGGCCAAGCTGTAGAAATATCCTGAAAATATTGAGATTTATTGCATTTTGTTCCTTTCTGTCTTTCTTTCTCGTGCCAAAGGTGTGCTCACTAACCGGCAGTAATTCAAAGCTCTATGAAAGAATCTGTCACGCCCGTAGGCACCCTTAAAGGCCAGCATCTCTCAGTACAGCTTGCGCAGCAAGTAAACAATAAAAACCACACAAAACCATTAAATTTGTATCTAATATTATCTAATTAGTAGCGAAGTCCAGGTCAAGCCTGGTGAGAACTTGTTTCTTCCCGAATGCGTAGCGAAGGGTTCTCGTTTAACTCTGGGGTTCTGGGGTAGAGCCTTGTTCGCGACCCGTTGTTTCTATGTTCGCAACCGTCCGCAACCGTTCGCAGTAGGACGCTAAGGCGCTGCCATTGGGGGAAGTTTTTGGAGGGGGTTTCGGATGAAAACGTGACGTGTCAGATTCGTGTGAAGTAGCGAGGAATCGTGTGGAAATGTAAAGTGTGCTGGAGGATTTCACTGCGCAGGCGCAGCGTTTTGTGAGATCCGCAGTTTACTGCGCAGTTCCATTGGGATTAGCGTTTGGAGAGTCGTGTCTTTGGGGTATTGGATGTGGCCGTGCCATTGGGATTTGCGTTTCAGGGTGTGGCATCGAAGCTCTGTTTTCGTGACAAGTCTCAGCTGAAATGCCGATTTTGGTGGATGGGAGTGTGCTCAGAACGGGTCGAAATCATTCCAAACGTGTGGTGTGGTGCAAACTTTGTTGAAGCTCACATGAGATGATATTGTCACTTTTCGTGGCAGGCGCAGTACTTTCTGCGGATTTTGAGGTGTGGAAGTGCGATTTTCGTGGCAGCCGCAGGGAATCGCGAGGTTGCGAGGTGTGACATTTCGTGGCAGGTGCAGTACTTTGTGCGCGTTAGACAAGAGTGTCCCACAAGAGTGTTCTACAAGAGTGTCCCAACAAGAGTGTCCCAACAAGAGTGACCCACAAGAGTGTCCCACAAGGTGTCCCGCAACAGTGTCCCACAAGAGTGTCTCACAAGAGTGTCCCTTAAGAGTGTCCTACAAAAGTATCGCACAAGAGTTTCCGACAAGAGAGTCCCACAAGAGTGTCCTACAAGAGTGTCCCACAAGAGTGTCCCACAAGAGTGTCCTGTAAGAGTGACCCACAAGAGTGTCCTACAAGAGTGTCCCACAAAAAGTGTCCTACAAGAGTGTCGTGTTAGAGTGACCCACAAGAGCGTCCGAGAAGAGTGTCCCACAAGAGTGTCCTACAAGAGTGTCATTTGGACATATGTAGCTTTTCGAACGTGTTTGCGTTCGGGTTCGTGGGCTCCATCTTGTTCAATACCAAATCATCAGAATTCAGAGTTAGGATATACGGACGTGCCTCGTGCCGAGGCACTGCAAAAAGCGTAGCTCACAGCCTCTTCGCCTCGCTCCTCTTCGTGATCCATAGATCTCTTGGTGTCTCATCTCTGCTGCGGTGCGAAAGCTGTTATAGCAATAGGGCTTGCCACGAATCCTGAGCGGCGGAGCGAGAGGCGAGAGCAACTGAGAGTGACATCATCGATTTCTCTCCAAGTGTCTCATCTTGCTCTGTCAAAGACACGAAGGTCAATATGCCAGCATCCAGTATGCTCTGCAATTTTGCCAAACCTGTGCTCGCTCTCTCTCTCTCTCTCTTCCTTCCTTCCTTCCTTCCTTCGTTCGTTCTTCCGTACACTTCGACGTCAAAAAGACATGCACAACAGCAAAATACAGACCTGTCATGGTAATGTTACATGTTATTATGTGCGCATCAACAAAATGATTGAAGCAACAACACCAATACCATTTCGACATGGGTAAACACCAAACATATTGATTCATGAGTCAGGTCGTGGGAGTTCGTACTAAGTTCATACCATTCATCCGTTGGTCCATCTCTTGTTCAGGCCTTCTTCAGCTGACTCACCTGGTGAGCCCCGCCCCTTCGGAAGTCGGAAGGGCCAACCACCCACCAGCACCCAACCAGGGATCAGCCAGTTGCTTTTCTCATGCGTACCTGGTAGGGGCTTCCATCAAGCAGCAAGGCTCAGCAAGACCCCATGAAACAAAAATAAGAACAAAATATCTTACTTTCCCTATGGGTCTCAACATAGTCCATGTATGGTTGTGTGTTCGTTGGGTTCATGGTTGCCCCTCTCGGTCCATTCAGAGCTTCTTGATGCTTCTTGCTTTTGTCCTCTTTGTGTCATTCCAACTCAATCAGTTTTATCATACATGGTGTCAGCCTCACGTAGTTGCAAGCATAACCTCCCATTGCACAAGAGCATGTACAATACACAAAATATGGTTGGAAGATGTTGGAAGCAATTCCAATCAAAGCTTTCCTCTGTTCCAACTGCAGTTTCCCAGGTCACATGGTCCCACATTCCCGAAACAGTCCCACAACCAAAATGGTTTCCCACCTTGAGCCCATCCGGCATCATGGACCATCGCTGAAAAGCTCTGCAGCAGTCGACCAAGCTCCGGCCGCGGCGGGACAGACGCCTCGGTCCTGTCCTCGTCCCCGTCGGACATCGGAAGCGACATCGTGTCGAACGCGGTCGGGAGAGTTTGGGAATGATGCAAATGCCACTGGAAATTCACGACAAATAAAGGGCATCGCTACTAGGAACAAGGACGCTACTAGTAGCTCCTGGCCTTACTACTAGGAGCAAGAAGCTACTAGGAGCAAGATAGATAAACACATGTATGTTGCGAAGGGATGGATTTGAAGTGGGTTGTGGCATGTTCTTCGCCCTATGGAATCCTGCAAGTCCAAAGAAAGGGATTATTCAAATACAAAACTAGGAACTTCAAAAAGAATTGGACGACCCCAGTCAGGATCAACGAACATGCTGATCTCGCTGATCTATATATTGTTTAACGTGCAGAATGCGCAGGCCAGTTCAATGCTGCAGCAGTCCGCAAAGTCAGACGTCCTTGAAAAAGAATGGCAGAGTACAATGTTAGTAGCATCAACGGTAGTTTCTTGTGGCTATGACAAAGAATCCCCCCTCGGCCAAGCATAAGACAGATCTTTTGACAGCAAATCACACGGCTAAAGCCGGTCTGAAATGTTTTTAACGGGTCACAAGGATCAAACTACATCTCTGGCATTGCACGACCGTTGTATTTCTGAGACATTCCGATATATGACCACAAATGAAGCAAAGAGCCCATGTGTATCACCAACAAGTACAAAAAAGTTGAAGACACGTGACATAGCTGGATCATATGAAGACACTGGCACAACAATGATATAGCTGAACAAGGATAAGGCAAAGGACGCAAGGGCAGCTGCAAGGAGTACAGTCTCTCTTTAAGATTTGTAAATAACAAAGACGTGTGCAATCTGGACTGGATCCAATTCTCAGAGATGTGTAAGATCATGCAGCTGGTTCCTTTGGAAGCCACAAGAGTCTGCATGGAAACGCTGTCGCCACTTCGTGTATTTCATGCCTCTAAAACAGCCGGTCCAAATGCTTTAGTATGCCTCTCCAATGGCCTTTCTCCAAATTCTCAAGAGCCACCATTCACCGTCCTAGTCGCCCCAAACCTGTACACTCACATGTTCGCCAAGTTCGCCCTCCGTTCTCAATCACCACGAAGACTGTGACTCATTGACCGGTTCATTCGCGATCAGCGGTTGTTGTGGCGAAAAGGCAACTCGTTTACTACAGTATACGGCATACATCATAATATAGTATAATACAATAATATGTTTTCCAAAAACGAAAAACAGTTGGAAACCTTGGTTGGATGATACCGTAGATACTAATTACTGCTTATCAGCGCGTGCCATGGTGGAACATCAAAATATGCACTTAGTCATTGCGCGTGCCCATGCTTGTTGGATAAAGAAAAGCAAAACATGCTCCTCGTGTGCATGTTCCTGAACGTTGCTTGAGTGCAGTCTTCTTTGCCCCCATGTGTTCGTAGTTCTGATGCCACCACCATAAAAGGATGGAACCTTGACGTTTGAATAATGAGCACAGCCTACCTTCCTCGCCTTCCTACCCATAGCCTATCCCATGTCGTTGATGTTTCAAATTTCAAAGACCAGACACGGCTGTCCGAAAGCACTCATGGCCGAAGTCGCATAAACGCAAAACGACGCTTTGCGCTTCTAATTTGATCAGACCCCCCCAAGAAAAGAATGCTTACTATCTATCACCTAAAGAAAGAGTTGCAAGGAGGATGCCAGATCCAAAATTTATGTTTCAGATTTTTTAAGCAGTCTCAAACATGGTGACAGTATGATAACTGTATAGAATAGCCATATTCAAAATTGTACCATCTATATACAATGATCTAAGCAGACTTCAAGTCAGGGGGCCTGTGTCACGCATGCCGGTAGGCATTTCCCTCGATTGCAGGACCGTCGCAGGATCTGGTAAACCCAGAAGGTGTCAGGATGCGGACAAGCGTGAATCGCTTGCCACTGGAGCTTTAAAACACGCAGGCTATGATTGGGCGACCATAAAGCAACTCGCAATGGAGACTTGCCAAACTAGTCCTAAACCATAAACACCAAATCCACCATGATTTGAAGGCCGCCAATCCTCTAAGGACTCTAAGGCTCATCCACCCTTGTTGGGGGAAGGTGGGAAAGGTTCCACCTGGCAGCCGTCAGTGTTCAACAATGGCTCTCTCAATCTTTGAGATTCCTGCAGCAGATGGGCATAGATATTGCCGAGGTCGTCAGAGAGCGAACAATGGTCTCCAGTCAATGTTGGAGTTGGACGCTTGATCAAAAGAAACGTGGCGCAAAGAGCGCAAACACCATCTGGGACCGCGTCAGAAGTCATTAGCAAATCTACCCCTGACGTGGTCCCATCTAAATCTATCAGCGTGGGATGGGGCTAGTCGCAGCAGGCAAACAAGTAAAAACTACACAAATCAGAGGCACTGAGAGCTTTCAGGCTCAGAATTTCCATGACCTGGATGTTTTCTTGAAGTGTGTCTCTCTCAATGGCCAAGTCGCTAAGTCCAAAGCAACTTTCGCCAGTGAATCGCGTACACGTTAAGCATGATGGATGTCTCTCCCAACACTGGGGCACCAAACAGTCTGCCGCCCCAAAGCCTCATTTAAAGCTTCTTGCCCTTGGTCGGCGAGTGACTTCCAACACTCTGATGATCCAGCTTAAGCCTCAGACTCATATTGTTCATAATTACTGTGTATATGTTCATATATATATATATTATATATAATATATATAGTGTTTTCATTCCTCTTCCCCTTACTACTCAATGATACAGTATAATATATAATGATATATCTTTTATATTTATATATATAGATTCTGCGAGTGGATCTTAATCAGCGAAGTTTGAAGCTATCACTGACGGTCCATAAGCGGCGTAGCGTCGGAACGGAAACCGCACCTTTTCTAGTCGCTTGATCCTTGAGCCAAAGTACATATGGTACATATATATGTACAAGTTGCACTGTACGTGTCGCTGCACTTCCATTCGCACCCCCCATGTGAACGGCAACAATATGTTCCGATCACACACGAAAATTTAGGGATGTAAGTGCTACAAAGAAATTGTATGATTTGCCGCGAGACTCATATGAGGCTCATACTACGAAACATGCTGGACTAAAGCGGACTTTTACATATAAAGTGTGCAACTATGGCTAAGAACCTTTGAAAAATCGAATTGAACAAGTGAGACAGTCACGAGGCCTCGCTCAGTATCCACTCAAAAGAGCATCGCTTTGATGTAGATCCGAACTGGTGACTTCCACGTAGATGTCACATCGGCAACTGACTTCACACTTCTCAAAAGATGTAGATTTTGATTTGGATACACTTACAGAACGGCAAGTCGGAGAGACAGTCGGTGACTGTCTGCCTTCCACTATGCTCATGGTATCAAATCGTTAATCCGATGATTTGCAATGATACACTTACAGCGTTTCAGGTCAGATAGACATCCGGTGAATGACTTCCTCCCTGGCTTGCATGGTATCCTCATAGTCGTTCAAAGAAATCACCACTGGTGATAACCTCTCCATCCACGATGATCCCAGCTGCCCTGAGCATCCCACCGATCATCTTCTCCCTTCTTGGACTTTCCCTTGGACTTGCTCTTTCCCTTTCCCTTTTCAGAAGGTTGAGGTACTTCGCGACGTTCTTGCGTTAGCGCCGGCCTCCAAGATGTTCCAGATTGGCCTCCTCCTTTGGAATGTCCTCGGGATGATGAAGAAGTTGTACCTTCTGCTGCATGTGTGTTGGCGGCAAGATCTTCCTGCAAAGCTTGCTCAAACACATCGGTAGCACTGGATGGTGATTTATCATGTGGTCTGGCTTTTGGAGCAGCCTTCGCCTTGTTCTCCTCTGCTGATGAGGGCCCGAAACTCTTAGGTGCTGTTGAAGGTTTTTGCTCCTCACTTGGTGCTGACGACGGCTTGGCCTCGGTTCTGGGTGTAGATGCTGGCTTTGCCTCAGCTCTTGACGAAGATGCTGCTTTCGCTTCAGACTTAGTCGTTGATGTTGACTTAGCTGTTGCCTTGGCTGCCTGCTTCTTCTTGCCCTGAATCTCCTTGGCCCTATCTCCAAAGCCTAGACGATTGGTAAGAGCTTGAACATGCTTATGTTCTACCACGCTCATCCATCTCTCTGTATGTCCAACGTTGGGGTTTCTGGCCATTGACTCTATGACTTCCTGAGCTTGTGGGGGTAACCTGATCTCATGTTGATCAATGATCAACAGAATAGACTTCTCCCATTTGCTCTTCATTCTCGAGTACATGATGTCCAGAGGATCGATCACCTTGTGGTTGGGTGATGTAACGTCGGTTCTAAAGTAAGAATATGTCCGACAACCATAAATCGCATGGATGCACTTCTGTACCAATTCAGTCATTGCGCTGGCTTTCTTCGCTTTCAACTCCTCAAGCTGGGCATCAGTCAAGTTGGTGGAGTGTTCGAAGTTGCCATATTCCTCCTTGAAGGATTGCGGAGTATGACCAAATGATAGGATCATGAGTGCTACCTTGCAAATGAATTGCTCTCCTCTGAATCGGTGCCAGGCCTCCTCAGTTGTAATATTGTTGTCGTTGGCAAAGATTAACATCATATCATCTGTTGGATCCAATGGTCTCCCATCGTCATCGATTTCAGTGGAATCTCCTGTACCGAACTTGCTTATCACATCCAGACGCTTCCTTGTCCAATTTGCTTTGAAGTCGGTAAGGCTGGTGCAATAGTAGCTCTTGTACATCAGGGAGATCATGTTCAGCACACATTTGACCACATACCTATCCATCAAACCCGATGCTTTCACGGAGACATCCTGACAGTAGGCTCTCTCTTGATGCGCATAGATTCGAGGTTCCGGTACTCGACAATAGATGGGGAGATCTTCGTTGTCTTTTCCTTCTTCGGGATTGAACTCGGTCGCTCCATGCTGTGCATAGTATCCCGGTTCATCACGATCTGTCGGTCGATTCGCCTCCGGATGTAAGTCGTCGGTGACGTCTTCATCCTCGGGCTCACCATCTTGACGTTTCTTCCCCTCATATTGTTGTGTGCTCCTCTGGATCTCGATGATCACGTTTCGTTCGTCTTCATCTTCTAGATCAGAATCACGACCGTAGTCGATCTCGTCCTCATTGAAAGATGGGGTCTCGACATTGTCACTCTTGAAGTTTTCTGCACCATCAGACGGTTTGGAAGGATCTAGATTGTCCATGTCCTCGTCGTCGTCAGCTGCTTCAGTTTGAGCGATGTCTTCTTCCCAAGCCTTTCTGATCTCGTCCATAGTGGCCTGGTCCAATATATCTTGATCATCATCTTCAGGCTCCTTCTCTTCCTTCTTTTCCTCTTCATCGTCGCTCACAAGATCAACGGGTGAATCGGAAATGACAGTGTTGCGAATACCACACGAGAGTAGCCTGCCTTGACAAGATAGACACACGGACAAAGATGAAGAAGTCAAATGCATACATGATGGACACAAAATATTGCCATCCACGTTGCGATACCCTTCACATGTTCTAGAGATGATTTCGTCCCAAGTTTCCTCACTGATGGAATCCTCGATCAGCTCTCCATTGCCATCGAATTGTACTTCGTCGATAAGGGACACGAGCTTTTGGACGTTGTCATCTGTCGCCGTGGCTGCCTTCGTGACTTCGTCGGCTCTCTCGAGTATGGTATGCTTCTGAGCAACCCAAAGTCCATGATGTGCCGCTAGAACAACTTGCTCTCCAGTGCTTCCCAGCAGGAGTCTCCTCCATGCTTGAACGTGATCGTCCCAATACCAAGCACCTCGTACACATCTCCATGGAACTTCTCTAAAAACAACAGTGTAGGAATTCTCCGAAATTCTTCCCCCAAGCTTCCTCAAAGTCATGATTGGAACATAAAGGCAAACAGGCATTCCCACTCTTGGCCATCTTGATCTCAGAATCTTTGATGATCGATCATCCCACGGCGCAAAGTGGTTGAAGAAAACACTACCTCTATACCCATCCGTTCCACCAGGGACAATTCCTAGTTTCATGATTGACTCAATATTGGAAAGCGATGTCATGTGAAAGCTTCCTCCAAGCTGCATTGCCACATTCTCTGGGATGAGATGTGAAGTCCACACAGGATATATTGACACATCCTCTTCAAGAACAGTCTCTCTTCCAGAATTGTGAGAGGCAACAGCTCGAATTGCACAAGGAACGATCCAACGTTCATGCTTCAGAAATGATGGTGCGTCTGTGCCGTAAAACATGAGGTTTGCCCAGTATTGCCTTTCCTCTTCGAGTGAGACATCCTCCTTTGAGATGCGAATGGCGGCAATCTGATAGCGTACTCTGTTCTGCAACTTCTTTGCATGCCACATCGCCTTGCATAAATACTGGTATCGCTCTGTCTTGGTATCTTGCTCACGTTGAGTACCTGAGATAGTACTGATATTGACACCATCGTTGAAGACATGATCATATTCCAGGATCTCATCGATGTTCACCCATCCACCCTCATTGCACTTCGGGGACACATGAGGTTTTCGACCGCGGTGCGATTGAATCCCATTATGCTTTCCCACTCCATGCCTGAGTAGTCTATTGAGTCTATGGCTAATCTCGTTGACCCACTGACTCTCCTCGCTGAACTTGTCGATGCGAATTGCTGGGTTCATCTTTGGTGGATCCGTGAAAGTCGCATCTCTCTTCGGTCCATTCCAGTACTCCACATAGAATGTAACTCCATACTGTGGAATTATCTCGATGTTTCCTCTATCGCAAGCCACCTCAATCTGCCGATATCCAACCTTTTGAAATTGTTGTGGGTCAGGAGCAAGGTCCTTCACTTTGGGCATCTTTATTCCGAGTGCTGCAGCCTCCTGAATAAGTGCATCAAGTTCCCTCTTTCCATCGGGACCTGATCTATCAACCCTGTGATTTGCGACCCTGTATTCTCCTCCTTCTTTGTCATCGGCAATGTCAAAGAGGTCGACGGGCTCTTTGAATCTGGTGACGACACTGGCGTTCCCAAAGGCCTTCTTGGTTGCCTCGACCGCTTTCGCGTATTCCTCTTTTGCAGAGTCTGACGAATGTGGTCTACCTTTGGCTCTCGGAGAGTAAGGTGGTACCTTACTTCCTAGTTCCGGCTCTTCTTCGGGAAGTTCAATATCTTCATCATCCACATCCATATAGTCCTCGTCTTCGACGTCTTTGGATGACTTGGCTTTCCTCTTTCGGCTTTCAACATCACGTCGGATGATTGCCTTGTCGTCCTCGGTGAAGCACTTGCGCATAGTGTCCTCCATGTAAGAAAATGAGTTCATCAACTCGTTCTTCTTCTCAGTGTCGGGACAAATAGCCAGGTGATGTTGGTTTGAACCACAACAATAGCACACCTTTTGGCTCGCTGCGCGTGCTCTGACCCTTCTGAGGTTGTCATAGGCGGATTTCCAGCTGGAAGCGGTTGCTGTACCTTGCCCACTGCGCTTGGCAGCTCTTTTCCGTTCCTCAGTATCTGGATTCGATGTCGGGTAGTGTGACCATGTTTTCGTCGGAGATACTGAACGACCTTCCCCTTCCTTGTAGTCTTGCGGATCAAGCTCAGGCGTAGGTGGTTCAGGCTCCTCGACTCCTGGAGTGGTACTCGCAGGGTCGGCTTCGCCATCCTTCATCTCTACATCAGGCTCTTCCGTAGACGTTCTTTTGGGCTCTGGGGCTATGGCCAGTCGTACCATTCTCCTGAACTCTGGTCTGGTAGCATACCTGGACATGACGGCATCGATACAGGCTCGTTCTTCAGCTGTAACATGGAGCCCTGAAGGTTTATTCCTCTTGGTGTTGTCATTGATTGACTTTCGGCTCGCTGCATAGAAGTGAAGAAAAGACATTTCTATACCTCTTCTGCATTCATTGATCTGAGCCCAATCCTCGAACAGCGTGTCTTTGAAGATGCCGGCCAGTTCGAGAACACCAGTCCAAAACTCCATGATATCGCCCGCAAGCTCAGAATTTGTAACAGTCCTATATTCATTCAACGAGAAGACGTCCTGGTACTCCTTGTGCGTGAAGAAATATTGGATGTAGTCGTGGTACGCCACATTCCCATACCCAATAGACCAGGTTAGACAAAAAATTGTCTAATAGACAACTTTCTTAAAATTTGTCTATTAGATAAATTTTTGTGATTTGTCTTAGACAACTTTATGTGACGAAAAGTTATCTAATAGACAAAACAAAAGTTGTCTAATAGACAAAAATCTGCTGTCTTAGACAAATTTTCGCGGCTGCAAACGAGGAAATTTCAAGGAAATTTCCTCGAAACTACCTCGTCTGTTTTTCAAAACTTCCTTCAAACTTCCTTTCTTTTTGTGGCAGTTTGGAGGTAGTTTGATGGAAGTTTGTAGGCAGTTTCAACCTGCAAGTGTGGAAGTTTGTCATGCACATGGACTGAAACTGCAATAATATGCAAATATTGTAACATAAACTTCCTCATGCCTATGATGAAACTGCAAGTAAACTTCCTCAGTGCCTGTGGTAGTTTTGAGGAAGTTTTGATTTTTCTGAGACAAAAAAATTGTCTCAGACACAGCCAAAAATAGTCTAAGACTGTTTCTTCAAAATAGATTTAGACAAATTTTGAAAAGTTGTCTTAGCCAAAAATCATGTTGTCTTAGGCAACAAAAAAGTTATCTAATAGACAATTTTTTTACAAAATAGATCTTAGACAAAAAATAGTCTAACCTGGTCTATTGGGTAGTCCATATACGCTCGGAAGCCATAGTCTTCACTGTCTGGATCATAGTCTCGGTGGATGAAAAGAGTGGATCCCTTCCCTTGGGTACAGTACTGTTCCACAAGTTCCGACGGGGCTCTGATTCCACCATGATGCGAAATAGCTTTCAATGCTCCTTGAATCCAAGGCGGATTCTTCCTGGATAGCATCATCGCACCCTCGACCATGAATTCACGGAGATTCTGCGCTGGATACAAACGGTTCCATTCAGCATTCTTCTCCCAAAGGACTCTAGCTCTCACTGCAGTTTCCCAAATACTTTCTCTTTCTTGTTGAATCGTGGGAGCGCCGCTATGAACACACCAAAAGTTGAAGTTGCAATTCACACAATGGCTTCTATTGTCTTTGTGTGTGTTCCAATCCTCGGATGCATCACGTTTGTTGCAATCTTCACAAAGATATGGTGCGGCATCTGCAGTGGCTTTGCAATTCTCAACTCTCCGATTTCCCGTCATCCAATATTCCATCCTGTCCTCCTCAGGCTCCGGATCTTTCAGAACGAATCTGATGTCCCTCCGTTCGGTACCTTGACTGAAGCTCCCACCAACAGTATGCTTCGTGCTGGTCTTCTTCGGTTGCCCATCACTTGCCGACATAGCAACGTTCAAGTACCGGTCGAAGTTGTCCTGAGAAATTGGGACCTGGATCTCGTCCTCTGCCATGTTGTTCAAAGCACTGACATGAACTTTATTCATTGAACACAATAGGATGACCCTTTCTCTCGTGAGTTGTTTCTCCATCACAGCCCAAATCTTGTTCTTGTCGCCGCCTGTGATATAGTTCGCACTGGGAGCACCTGCAACTGAGTACATAGCTTTCCAGGCACGTGACGATTTGGTGGCCAAGGCACCACTTCGTCTCACTTGGTCTACAATGTCGGTGACAATGTGACTGTGATCATATCTTGCTGGCCCGAAGAACTTTGAATCTGGCTGGATGTTCACTAATACTGGAGTAGTCAGGAGCTGTCCGATCGAATGGACCTTCTCAGCCAACTTCCTTGAGAACTCTTTGAATGTCGCCTCGGTCAACCTCAGTGTGCTGCCGTTCGGAAACATACAATGAAGACACAGCCAGATGTGGACGGTTGTACCGTCCCCCTGATCTTGTCCATGTTCTTCCAAGAAAGCGACTACTCTATCAAGAATATCCAGGATGTCTTGGTGCCTTTCTCCCTTAACTTGGAATACACAGCAATTTTCGAATGCCATCTCAGTTCGGATACCGTACTGCATCGTCGTGATTTTCTTTGACGAACTTGCTCTAGTCGCATAGTCAAGGTCTGTCACAAGAATGGTGTGTCCGGTACCGACTCCTCTAATCTGGCCACTCAAATGATCAACATCCATGACTCCTGTATCCCCGTCAATCATCACCTTGTCCTTCTCCTCGGTGTGGCACCCAACTTTGGATGAAAGGAACTTGATGTGATGTGCGGCCTGCTCTGGCACATCGTTCAACTTCAAGATAAGTACCATGGCCCTTGCTGAGGGATATATACTGAAAACAGCTTGTCAGATCGAACTCTTCAACCATCTCAACATAGAGCTTTGTCCAAAAACCGTCGCTCTCGTTCACTTTTGTCCTCAAATGAGAATCGGTGAGAGGTTGAAGCCCCATTGATGAACTCGATCTATAATTTCCACCCAAAGTCACCCCGACATAATACGTGAGCCTTCTCACATACTGTCTCCAATCTCTTCCTGGCTCGGCTGTACGAGGACCAGCAAACGGAGCTGTAGCGTAAGCAGTGGTACTGCTTCGATAAGTCCAGAGATTGAATATGATGGGTTTGCCAAGGTAGTCCATACCGTTGCACCCGATAGTCGTCACACCTTCAGGAGGAAGCGTGACAAACCATTCTTTTGGCTGTGCAGGCTGTTTCGGCTTCGGCATGGGTTTGCACTTTGGCGGAGCTTTCGGTGGAGGTCGTGGAACATCATACGCTCCATGAGGTACATCGGATGACCAAGGATCCCATTGTTCATTGTTCCTTTCCCAAGGTGGCCTAGGACCTGAACTAGATGAGGTGTAAGGACCGCCCGGTGGTACCGAACTTCCTTTTCCTCCAAAAGTCTAGGTATAGTCATCACGATTCTTTGGTGCTCCACTTTGATCTCTTGCCCTTCTTGCTTCCTCCCTCATCCGTTTGGTGATTTCATCCTGACTAAGACCTTTGTTCTTGGCATGATGGATCCGAAATTGACACAACCATTGAGGTTCCACCGCACTGAAATCTTTCAGATTGGGTGGTCCGATTGAGGGATTCTCGAAGGTTAAGTAGATCTTCTCCTTTGGCTTGCCCAAGGTCTCCAGATCTGGTTCTTTATCCAGGTTGGCCTCGGATAAGTGGAGCTCTGCAATGTACTGATTCAAGATACTGATCGACGTGTCCCTTGCGAGAAGGTCTCGATGGACTCCTAGTTCAGCACCAAGAACATTGTAACCTGCTGTCCACACATCCGGTTTCACCTCTGGAAACCATTCTTTCAAATGCTGGAATGCAGCGAGCATCTGCGCATTCGTTTCAGGTCTGAGGGAAATGGCAGATTGCTCAATGACATGCCTATGAATGCATCGATACAACGCTTGGATGCACTGGAAATTGTTGATTGCGGCACATCTTTCCAAGGTTCCTCCCGATTGCCCTTTTGCAATGATCTGAATGAGGTCAGTCAAGGATGTGAGATCTTCGGGATGATTCTTGTTGTGAAACCTCAATGCAAATCCCAATGACGCACCCGCCAAGCTGATGTATCTGCAGCTGCGTTCCCAATGTTCGCCGGTCATTGCCACGTAGTTGCTGCTACGACCTTCAATGGGTATCCTGTGATGCAGATCATTCATGGAATCATAGAAGTACCCGTCCCTCGTGATGTCTAGAAGTGAATCTTTTGACATCGCAGTGGAATTGATACCTTTCATGCCTCGTTTGGCGACCTTCTCATTCAGGTCTTCCAACATCCCTTTGACTGGTGCTTCTTGGTTGAAGGGTTCCGGCATGAATAAAGCCAAGAGATTGTCTGCAAATAATTCCAACCTGTCCCAAACATCATTGGATGCAAACGCCTCATAGGGAAAGTGATCCGGATTAGGAGGAGGTGGCGGCCCAAGAGGTATGTGTTCTGGTCGTACCAGTCGCTCTTGACTCTTGACGATGCCGATCACCCTCTTTATTCCAGCAAAGAATGCCCTTGTTACCTCATTGCCGTCGTCCGTCTCTGGGTCATACTTGCTGAGCAACACTCTGAGGGATCTCACGAGGCGCTCTTGGATGGCTCCACCCTTGGCTTCAACGGCACAATAACAAGCGCTGATAGAGTAGACGGGTGGTACCCCTCTCTCCATCCACTTCTCTGCCAGTTGCAGAGCTTGTCCTGGGTCCATGTCCTCGACGAACCGTCTAGGAACAAGTGTAGGACTCTCCCCTCGTCTGCTATCCAATTTCTGGAGGTGTTCTTTCAGCTTCTTGGCTGAGGCCATGCTCCTCCCTGTGGTCCCATAAACAGTAGAACGAAACATGTTGACTACACAATCTCCACGATGTAGGGATGTTGTCAATCTCCAGAAATGGCTCACGAATGCTAATGAGTTCCCCCTTTGTGGTAGGGTTGCCGGTGACAGCCCACCAGTGATTGGATGGAACTCAGCGAACTTCTTCTTGGCAAATTGCTGGATCACGCCGGCACCAAAATGGCTAGCTTGGTTGATCTCAAAATCTTGCTCAAGATGATTGTGAAAGGTAATGACACTGGCGCATGAATCATGAGTGTCATGGTTGTTTTCACAAGTGAATTTCTTCTTCTTAGAATCGTGAACCGACTGAATGATCTTGTCAAATCTTTTATTGATATTGACTTCTGAACATGGGTTACCGTTTGACATGGAGGGATGCGGCGATCGCGACCAATCGTAAAGCACAGGAGCACGGCTGGTCACATGTTGCTTCTTCCACAATGACAATGCACGTTTGTTCAAAGTCTCTATCATATGCTGCGCAATTCTAAGAGTATACAATTGAGTTACTCTCGTTTCTCTTCCGGCACAAGGTGCATGCTGATGTTTATGATCACACTTCTTCATCAAACTTTGAAACTGCACCCCCCACGACACAATCCTCCACGGCTTCTTGATGGGTATATTTCTATGACCATAATGAGTTGCGAGGCCATACATACATCCGTCGAAGTCATGTACGTGTGATTCCGTGCCTTCTATCAGAGTTGTCATTCTATCATCTCTCCAATACTCGCAACCTCTAGGTAGCTCAGTAAGCGCACATGCTCCTATTGCGAATACATGGTCAAGTGCATTGGCAAAGCAATTCCACAACGACCAATACAACTCTTGATGTTTCTCAATCTGCATTTCGGCCTTTATACTTACAGTCCTATTCAAGCGATTCCATGCAGAACCACCAGTGCAAGGACCCGCAAAGAAGACACAATCAAGACTGGACCGGACACATGCTTTCACTTTATTGATGCCATAAGCTGAGCAGGCATCGTCGTCCTCTGTGATTGTCACGATGTTCATGAACTGCTTCTTCAAACAAGTCTGGAGAAAGGTAAACCAATTCTGTTCTTCAGCACACATGAGGACTAGACATGGGACATTTCTTTCGAGCTCTTGTAGCATGATGCATCTATCAAAGATATCTTGAGGACCCTTGACGTCTTGCTGATGGAGTTCGAACTGATATTTGTGTGACCGTCCTGATCTCCTTTGTAAGACAAAATGCAACACGGGTTTTCTTCCCGAAGGTGTGTCACTTGCAACATATTTTGCTGTTTGTGCAATGAACATGTGCTCGTGGGCAATGGTGTTCAACCCCCACGCTTGTATGCCTGTTGCAATCGCCGTGACATCGCCCTTTTGCTTGTTATTGCTGTTGTCTGTCGTTTCATGTTGTGGGCTGTGTCCGTGACCGTTGGAAACGATCAGGAATGTTGTATTTCCTATCCATGGATCGTCCTTACCTACGGAATTACCCTTGAAACGCCAGGTATCAACTTTTGTGTCCTTACCGCTCTTGTAGTACTTCTCAGTCCTACGATAATCAGACAGATCCGACAGCCGGACAGGACAGTGTGAGTCTTCACTAGGGACAAACTCTTGTGTTCTCGGCACATTATGCACTCGGGTGAGCGTGTCGCCATCGCGTCGCCATTCATCTCGGTAATTTTTATTTGTTTTTGGGTTTTTCCCCTTCGAATCCAGGCGCACAAAATGGTCTTGCACCGCACCGAAAGCGCGAATTGATGCACCGTCCTGCCCCCCACTCCCCCCATGAACAAGACGTAGAAGCGTGTTGATCACACGAAGGGTGGCAGGATGACAATTGTTGAGAGGAACCTCTTGTGACTGGAGCAAAGCTGTATCAGTCGACAAGGAGGCAATAGAAAACTGTAGCACAGCGTCTGGAGTCCAAGGAACATTGGCTAAGGCCAGGAACGGAGATTGAGATAAGCATGCGCCCGCCTCTGGAGAGGAGGATGCCTTGGAGGCATGATACAGGAAGCATGCACGTTCGACCCAATGATCAAAGCGCAAGGCTTGCTGCAGTGGCGTAGCTTCTCGTTCCACACAATTCCAGGAACCATTAACAAGGACCCATGTACTCCGACACGTGTCTGACGGTATGTAGCGACCCGGTGGGAAGCGACGATAATAGACTGGGACTTTGACGACATAGATGCAATCTCCATTGGGGAGATCCTGGACACCTTCTTTTCCTGTCATTCCTTTTACAAAGACTGCACGAGGCAAGACCGGAGTCTGAGTGTATGGGAAATTAGGAATGTCATCCGTCTTAGTCTGAAAGATTTGATGATCGATTTTCTTATGATCGACTGAAGGAGAGACCATGTCAGCCAACTCTTTGGAGCTCAAATCCTCTGGGTCAAGAAGGTTGATCAACATACAAGCCCGGCGCCACGCAAGCGGAGTCCGAAAGGCCTTTGTATGAATATCAGCACACATCTTGTGGGAGATCTCATAGAGCAGCACGAAATGGTCCTGTTGAAAATGTTCATGCAATGAGACAATGGATATCCCATGAGTGCGTTCAAGATGACGCATGGTGGGATTCTTCCCGGTTCTGGCAACTCCAATCATACCTTGATTATCATCATGGAACAATATTTCAGGAGCTTTGCCCGAGAGCGTTTGCCAGAGGCCGATGGAGGGTATCCCAAAATTGCGGAGAGTGGAATCTGCCGCGACTATTTCTGCTTCAGGTGTTGAATGGCTGATACATCCTTGACGCTTGCTCCCCCCAGCAATGGGAAATCGTGTATGCTTACCTTGTACGTGCATGTGAGAGCCCGACGTGGAACGAAGGGTCTCACCGCAACCAGCAAAATCAGCATCAGCGAAGATTCCGACTGAGAGAGTTGCGATCGGATCGCCAACCCATCCAATCATGCGCTTGTCTAGAGTGCTGTTGACATAGCACATGAGATGATGCAAACGAGCATCATCATTGCTGGTCCATTTATTCACATTCCTGGCCAGCATGTTGATTGATCTCAATAGATCGAATCGAGCAATTCTGGCAGCGTACAACAACTTCATGAGTATACTCGCTGCATGTGGCGCCAAAGAACCACGGTTTCCATCGTCCGGAGTGACGTCAGATTCGGACTTGGAATGCAACTTACCAGAATACTTGGGGTCAAAGGTGTTAGCACACCATGGACACGTAACGGCCTCTTTCCCTGGAGCGGGTGCTCGTGCGGGATGAGATTTGGTTTCTTCTGGGACGCTTGGTGTCGTGACCTTCTTCAATTTTGTATCATGACCGACAATGTCTAAATACTTTTCGACGGACAGTTTCAACAATCCTTCCATGTTGTATGAGACGGTGTTGACTACTGTTCCATCATGGAGTTTGGACTCTCCTCGTGTGAGCATGCAGCCGAGATAAAGTCCAAGATCAGTCTCGGGCTCAATCCTGAGTTTCGTTCGTAGCATAGACCATCCTTTGGTCATGTTCTCGGTTGGTCCGGCAAGCTTCAGGTCGTCCACATATATAACGAGGAGAAGTTTCAGGCCTTCATGAAAATACATTGATGGCCATTCATCACCAATTGGCTTGAAGCCAAGTTGGCGCACCTGCGTATCGCAGTGCTTCTCCCACATTGTACCTGCGTCCGGATGTCCATACAAGGCTTTGAGGAGGCGTACCACTGGTCGATGATACTTTGATACATCAACATCATCTGGCCACGCGTCTGACGGTAACTCGACCCAACAGGGCGGTCCCGTAAGAGAAGCCTGAATGTATGCCTGAATCGCATCAGCGAGCTTGACCGAATGTCCGGGAACACATCCATAGAAATCTGCCCATCTAGAAGATTCAAAGGATGCTGGTGAATTGCCCAAGTCCTGAAAGAAAGCTGCTTCCCAATTCTGATTCTTCACTTTGTTTCCTAGCAATACTCCTCTTCCCTTAAATTTTCGTCTCTCATCACTCATTGGCAACTGGTAGTTCTTTTCCACAATGATGCCATGGACCCTTGCAAAGTGCACGACCTGCTTCAGAGTGAGCGCTTCTTGTTTTACGTCGTGATACTCCCGAATCACAGAGAAGTCGAACACTCCTTGCTCATGAAGTCCCAACCATTCTTTTCTCGTTGAGGCTTTGGCCTTGGGATTCTTCAGCATTTCTGCTCGACTAACAGGTCTGGAGACTGCTGCATTGAACAGGTTCCGATAAGCACTCATCGGGTTCGTTGCGTCGGCATATGTGTATCTTTCTCGATGTTTGGAGACCGAGTTGATGCAGGGCATTGACGGAAATGACAAGTGATGATCTTTCAAGTTCTTTGTGAAATCTTCGGTTGTGCATCTATTGGATTCCTTTGGCATTGCATATGCTACTGCCATATCATTGAGGATTTCTCCACTGTTGACATCAATGATATTGAGTGGATCCCAAGTAGCACGTGGGCCGAACCCATTCTCCACACTCGTCCATTCCTCCCATTCGACTAAGTAATCGTCGTCGCTTGGGAGTTCTGTGGAAAGTGTAGATGCCGAAGATGGACTATAGCCCCCCATGTCATCGTCATCGGTGATCAGCGTCCGATCTTTCTTCATATCGATGAAGATGTTGGGCGATACGTCCTTAGGATCATCATCCTTGTCCTCCTTCTTTTTCTTCTTCCTTTTGTCCTTGCTGGATCCCGCACCTTTACTCTCTCTCTCTTTCATCTTTTCTTTCTCGAGAGCTTCTTTCTTCTCAGCGATAGCTCTATCAGATAGAGACAACGCTTTCCATTCTTCTGGAGTATATTTTGATCTTGGTCTCGGTGATGACCTGAAGAACCTTCTTCCGTCTGATCCAACCTTATATGGATTCCCTTTCCTGTCCAGTTTCACGGTTTCACCATCATCATTCAAGTAGATGATACCATCACTTGCTTTTCCCATGGACATGTGATCCATTGAAGGATCTCCAACTGGCGGGTGATCTTCCC